CGCACCATGATCTTCCTCACGGCCAGCAGCTCGCAGCTATGAACGAGGTCAAAAGGAGGAGCTTCACAGTCGAAGAGTCTCATCTTCATCTCGCAGTAACACCTCTCGGGACCTAACTTTGCGTGCAACTCACAGAAAAGATGACTGAAGGATTCCAAATTACAAAGTCATACGTTGCGCGCGGAGAGGGAAAAGAGGAAAAAGGTCTCGAACCCTATCAGGCGTCCGTCGCTCCTGGTCAAAACAAAGACCGGGCCAGGGGGTTTTGGAGAGAGATCTATCCTCCTCCTCCTCCTCCCTTCCTTCCAGTCTACTTCAACCCGCCGCGAGGCGATAAAGAGACGACGCCAATCTCGAGAGACGGCGTTCTTTATTACGGCGAAGGGTTGGGCGAGTTGGGCGAGCCGGGAGCGACGCCCGGGAGCGACATGCCGAGGTTGTCCGGAAGGGCCTGCGTAGCGTGCGTCAGGTACGGAGCGAAGGGAAGAGAGGATGCCAGTCAGCGAGTGGCTCTCTCTTGACCGATAACTCATCCGCCGCAGCAAAGCACATGCGTGGGCGCGAAGGAGGAACGAGGAGGGAAGAGAAACACTCACAATGTTGGGGTTGGTGTCCTTGAGGAGCTGCAAAGCATGCACACGCCCGAGTGTGGAGTCGTCAGCCAGGCAGTCCGAAAGGAAAGGTCCGCCCTGCAAGCGACAAGAAGAGACCGGCAAAGGCACAAGGCTTACCGTGCCGCCAAAGAGGACGCGACCCTCGCGTTGCTGGTAGTCGTGGATGCGCTTCTCCACCTCCGGGCCTGTTGAGAGAGAACAAAAGTCAGTACGTCAAAAGCTCTTTCTTTTCCCTCTCCCCAACCGCCACCGCCACCGCCAAAAGAAAAAAAAAACCCCATCACCGAAAGAGAGAAAGAGAAAGAAGGACTGACGGAAGTGACGGAGCAATCCCTGCACGGGCCAGGCGGCGGCATCACCGAGGGCGCAGATCGTGTGCCCCTCGATCTGCTTCGTCAACTCCTGCAACATTTCGATCTCGCGCTCGTGCGCCCTGCCGACGACAAACCGGTCCATCATCTTTTCGAGCCACGTCGTCCCCTCGCGGCACGGGGTGCACTGCCCGCACGACTCGTGCTTGTAGAACTTGGCAAAGCGGGCAATGGCGCGGATAATGTCGGTGTCCTTGTTCATGACGATGACGGCGCCCGTACCCAAGCCGGATTGGAGGTCGCGGAGCGAGTCAAAGTCCATGAGGGCTTCTTCGCAGAGGTGCTGGGGCAAGACGGGGACGGACGACCCGCCAGGGACGATCCCGAGCAAGTGGTCCCACCCACCGCGGACGCCGCCGCAGTGCTTCTCGACCAACTCTTGCAACGGGATCGACATCTCCTCCTCGACGACGCAAGGCGTGTTGACGTGCCCCGAGATGCAGAACAGCTTGGTCCCGGCGTTGCCCTTGCGTCCGAAACCGGCGAACCAACTCGCGCCGCGGCGGATAATGGTCGGCGCGACGGCGACCGTCTCGACGTTGGCGACCGTGGTCGGGCATCCGAACAACCCCACATCGGCCGGGAAGGGGGGCTTCAAGCGCGGTTTGCCCTGTTTGCCCTCGATCGACTCGATCAAGGCCGTCTCCTCTCCGCAGATGTAGGCCCCGGCGCCGCGGTGCAAGTAGACGTCAAAGTCGTACCCCGAACCGCACGCGTTCTTGCCGATCAACCCGGCCTTGTAGGCTTCCTGGATCGCCTGCTCGACGTGGTCCGACTCTTGGAAGAACTCGCCGCGGATGTAGATGTAGGCGGCCGAGGCGTTCATGGCGCGGCCGGCGACGAGGCAGCCCTCGATCAACTTGTGAGGGTCACCGCGCAGGATTTCGCGGTCCTTGCTATGGGTCACCATTGATGGTCAGTAGTCCGATTTCCAAGGGAAGGGGGACAAGGACCTTTCGTCGTCGCAAGGGGGAGGGGGGGGACTGACCAAGTGCCGGGCTCGCCCTCGTCTGCGTTGACGACGAGGTACCTGGGCCTCGGGTCCTTTTCCCAGCCGGGCTTGTTCATAAAGGACCACTTGAGACCCGAGGGGAAACCAGCTCCGCCTCGGCCGCGGAGTCCCGAGTCTTTGATCTGCTGGATGATCCACGAGTCTCCCTTGAGGACAATGTCCTTGGTGCGGTGCCAGTCTCCGCGGGCCTGCGTACGCGCGCGTGTGTGTGAGGGTGAGTGTTAGCCGGGGTGTGGCAAGGGAGGGAGTGCCCGCCGCGATCGACTGGGACGGGGGGGAAGGGGGACTGACGAGTGCGCCCTTGAGACCGTGGTCAGCCTGGCGGTACGCGTTGGTAAAGATGCGGTCCTTGTCCTGCAGTCCGCCGTGGCGCTTGACGGGGTTGGCAGCGGCATCCGTCACTTGGGCGTACGACCTCGTCGCTCCCCCCAGGGCGGCGGGAGCGCGGGCGACGGCGATGCGACGTCCTCCTACGCGCGTGGCGTTGACCAGTGGCCGGGCGAGCGACATGTTCGACTCTTGGGTGAGCTGAGAGAGCGGAACGAGACTCGCCGACGCCCGATTGGCTTGCTCCTCCCGCCGGTATCCTCTCGCCTGCTCCGGACGCTCAGAAAGGGTGTGGAACGGCACGCTTCCGAACCTGCTGGCCCCGCTGTGCCTCGCTGTCTGCTCTCCGCATCGCGATATCCACCTGCCGCTGCCGTCACCCCTCGCCGCCCAATCCGCTGCGACCCGTACCGCATCTCGGCGTCAACTCTCTCCTGGCTACATCGGACACCAAACTGCCCCGTTCAAAGGCTCGGCGAGCAATAGGCTGGCGCGATCGAGCTGCTCCGAGGCCGCTGCAGCCAGTACCACTCGGAACAGGCTTCTCCTCCCTCCGATTTCCGCTGCTCCGGAACATGCGGCCGGTCGAACCGCCGAGACGCTACACCGTTGTGCACGAAGCTTATCCGCGCCCGATCCCACGAGCGAATTTTGCCCTCAGCTGCCCGGATCGACGCCTTCAGGAAGACGGCGCCGCCCGCGATTCGATTCCCGGTGCGGCCGAGTGCTTTCCTCCCCTCCGCTCGCCAAGCGGCCAATCAAGATCGGCGCTGGCCTCGCGGCACCAATCTCTAAAAGAAGAGCGGTCACCGCACCGTGTGCTCGTCCGGACGAGTCGTCAATGAGCAGAAATGACACGAGACACCACAACGACGGAACGCCATAACACCCAGTTTCGTGTCGTGTCCGGCGATCCGGTTCGACAGACGGCGCACCTGTACCAAGAGGTGGACGAGCGGCTCCGGTACACTCGACGTATGGCGGAACAGGCGAAAGTCACGGGCGACCACGTGCAGTTGATGCGGATTTTGGAGGCGCTGCAGGAGTGTGAGTGGCTGCAGGTGGAGAACATGTCTTGAGGACGTTTCGTTCTGGCTTTAATCCTCTTCCTCTCGCGACGTCTCGTCATCTAGATCAAGGTCTCCTTCTGTATCACGGACTTTTTATCTCCGAAACGCTGGCACCCTTGCTTCGAGTCTCCGCTCTCTGAACAGGCCACTTCTTCATGATACTCTCGAGACTAGTCTGAGTGCGTCAAGCTGGTTCCGCGGGCCTGGAGGGCGCATGCGAGGCTACTTCGGCTTCCGCCCTTTGCGAGGTTACTACCGAGTCGACCCTTGGGCCGCGTCCGCTTGAATACCGAAGCTCATCCAGACAGGCTAGTCGTGCACACGTTATTGCATGACGGGCTGCCCCGCGTCAGACCATCGCAGTCGGAAGCTCCCGCTGGCGCGTCCGACGCGATTCCGCCAGTTTCTTCTCTCTGAGCTCGTTCTCGCTTGTGTCTCTAGCTTCGGACGGCCTTGAAAGAGCGCGCCCAGAGCGGTATACATTTCCTTTCGCCCCAGGAGAGGTGTGAGTGCCCGTGCGAGGAGGCGTATATTGCCGACTTCAAGGGCCATTGCAAAGCGATGTCCGGAGCGGTCTTGAGCCTCCTCACGCAATGCCTCTCCTATCGGACCTACTTCCTCGCTGCGACTTGACGGACTAAGCTCCGCATCTGGTGCATTATGAATGACGGAGAAGCTAGCGATGCAGCGGACTTGGCTCGGGTGCTACTCGATCCGAACAGGGTCGGATTTGCTTCAAGCATTTTTCTTTGTCCTCGGAAGTCTTTCATAACGTTGTCCAGTCACGATCCGGGACTTCCGTTGGTGGTCCGAAATCGGCGCGTATATTCTGACCGCGGAAGTCAGCGCCTTTTTGCCCAAAAGACCTGCGTCTGTTTCTCTTGCACACATCTCTCATTTGAGGCGGAAGAGCGCAAGCTGCTCTTTACGGCGACGCTGCATAACTAGACATAGCCTATAATCCGTCTACACCCGCGCTGGACGCTGCTCGCGCTAATTCTGCGGCGCTTTCCGACAAACCCTAAGTACGACGGTGCAGGGTTCTTTTTCATCGCAAGGCTACAACAGGGCAGACTGGCAACTCCCACGTGCGTCAGAAAAATCGACAACCGTACCTTGAGGTCCTACTGCGCCAGCTCTAGACGGGGCAGCGACAGCGACACTTCGCGATGTTGCGTTTCCGTTCGCCGGCGGAGCGGGCACCGACAACCCGTTTCAGCTCACGCCGAGCTTCCTTTAGGAGGCAAGCGGTTACCGCACGTTACAATGAGATGTCCACCTTGCGCGCACGGGACCTCCGATGGGCCTCTAGACCCTCTCAACCGCCGCTTTCGCCTCTCGCTGGCTTTCTCGCTTCGGACTTCGCGCCGAGCCTACCGCTGGCTCTAGCGCTTCCGGACTTGCTCCCCGATGCTTTATGGAGCTTGACGGACCACCTGGGCTCGCTTTCGGCGCTGGCAATTGGCTCCGGGCGCCGAAATCGCCTTAGAAGCTTGGAAACGCCTGTTCTCCCTCGCCACTTTGACTTTTTCATCCGCTCGTTTCCGGTTAACTCGGCCGGTATTAACAGCACTCATAAATGCTATAGTGCTTGCATATTCCATCTGCGTTTGTGGTTTAGTGGTAAAATTGGGCATTGCCAGTAACAGCTTCTCGTCCAAGAAGTCTGTCTGAATTGCCTAGCCCCGGGTTCGATTCCCGGCGAACGCATTTTTGCTGCTCCCGTACGGTAGCCAGCGCTTTTTTATCCGTCGGAGATGAAAGAGGCGATCCGGAAGCCTATGGCGGTGGTCCGGCGAGAGAGGGGACGTCGGGGGAAGCGTCGTCTCTTTTTCGATCCGCAACGGTCGCAGGCGGCCTTCCTACGCGCAGATCCCAGCAGCGAGTCATGATGGAGGCTGAGGAGGTTGCGACCAGGTGCATGAAGCTGCTGGCGATGAAAGAGGATGGGAGTTGCCGCTCTGTTCAAAACTCGCCTCTCACGCCCTCCCCGCCGGCTCTAGCACATGCGGCATGCATGCCTTTACGACATTCTCTCGTGAGCCAAAGAGCCACACCGGACACCTGGAGGAAGTCCAACACGATTGCGGTGAACGGCTCTACAAACCGAGGCGGGCAGAAAAGATTCGCCGCACGGCGTCCGAGTCGCCGAGACTCCAGGTTGACACCTCCTTCGCAGACTCCGCCGGAACGGTCGATGGTGCCTGCTGCGAGTCGTTGCTGGAGGAGGCCGCATTCGCGGCGGTCGCGGTGGCGGCTGCGCTAGTAGTCGACGAGTGCGCAAACGCGTCTCGGAAGACTTCTCGCCAGAGCATCCGCACGGGTGGCAACGTATGCGCCGGCGCGCCTTCTCCATCCGTACTGCCGAGAATCCCTCCCCCAGACTTGCGCTTGGCTTGCACCGTCTGATCGCTCGTTCCGGTCGCCAACGCCGAGGAAGAGGGACCCTTTCGCGCCGTGGTCGAGTCGGACGAGGGATCGCCAAAGATCTCGTCAAAGAGACGAGTGGTCCCTTCCGTTGCGAGCGGCAACCTGGACGCCGCCCCTGCACCAGCAGCGACCGACGACCGCGCAGCACTTCCGACGAGGGCGACGGAGCCAGCACTGTCTGACGCAGTGACGGCGAGGGAAACGTCGTCCTCGCCTGCGACGAGGGAAGGGAGCCAAAGCGCTTGCCGGACCGGATGCGGGAGGGGACGAGTTTTCGGCTTGCGAGCGGGCGAAGCGACCGGAGCAGACGGGTCGAACACGTAGAGGAGAGCGGCGGGTTGCGCGCCGTCCGCCGACGAAGAAGAAGGAGCGGCGTCCTCGATTCCGATCAACGTAGACGAGCGCGGCTTCGGGACGAGCGCGGCAAACTCGATCGAGGTCGAAAAAGTCTCTGTGAGAGGAGATCTCGGGTCAGAAAACACATCAAAGGAGATAGGCACGCGAGAAACCGCGCTCACCTTCGAGCGTCAACAAGTCCCAGCAGACGGCGCCGCCGCTGCCGGCACACATGATCTTAGTCCCTTCCTTGTCCGCAAAGCACAGACTCTTGGGCCTCCCGATCGCCGTCGCCGGGAACGCATGCACGAGTTGTCCCGCGTTCGCGACCGTCCAGAGCGTGACGGTCCGTTTCGCATGCGCGACGGCAAAGAGGGACCCGTCGTGCGACCACGCCGAGGTGACGGGTGCGGAGGAGCGGTACGAGAGCGCGGCGCGGCACTGCCAGGTGCCGTTACTCGCTTCAGCGGACGAAGAAAAAGGACCCCAGATCTTGATCTGGCCGTCGGTGGAAGTAGTGAGGAGGAGAGGGGACACGGTCGACGGGGAGAAGGCGATCGAGGTGATCGGCGCGTCGTGCGGCCGGTCGATACGAGTCGACAGGACAAAGCTGTGTTTCGTCGAGGAAGCAAGCAGGTCAGCGAGATGAAGTGCATACTGACGCCGGGATGGCCGCGCGAACTCACCCAGGTTGACCTTCTCGCTTGCGCCAGAACTTGAGCTGCCGAACGCTCGCGAACCCTTCCTTGCTCCACGAATCGACCGTCGCCATCCAGTACTCTCCCTTCTTCCCGTTGGTCGTCTCAGGCTGCGAGAACGCGACCCTCTCAACCCGGGTAGGCTCAACCTGACCGTTCGCGCTCGCGACGCGGTTCGAAGGCGAGATTTCGAGTTCGAGGAGTTGAGAGTCCGAGGAGGGGGAGTAGAATTGGAGGGAGGAGGGGTGGCCCGAGGGGAGGACGAGGGCCGACGTGGAGGGATCGACGGCGAGGGGGAGGGGCAAGTCGGGGCGGCGGGCGGTGAGAGTCGGCACGCCGCGCGACGAAGAGAGGTCTGTTTCCGTTGAGCCGGCGAATGAGCACGTATGTTCGGAGACGCACAATCCGGAAACGTACCGGATCGGAGTCCAGCAATCGTCTTGACCACCTTGAGCCTCTGACTCCCCACGAAGACGGTACTCCCGTCCCTCAACCTCACTGCCACCTGCTGCTCGCCACCCTCCGAAACATTCGATTCTAACACCGTGAGAGCCTCGATCTCGGCGCCAAGGCGGGGCACGTATTCCTGGTGGCCGGAATGAAGTTGCCACAGGACGAGGACGGCTTCCCTCCCGCCGGAGAGGAGGTAGGCGCCGTTGGGAGTAAAGGCGAGGGAAGAGACGGCGTGGGCGTGCCAGTGTAAAGTGGACGTGGTCGGTTCGTCGTCGTTGACACCCGTCGACGACATGACCTGGTCCTCTCCTTCCTCCCCCGAGGAGACGGGCCGCGGCAAGACGTTGTACCACACCCGGATCTGACCTTTTTCGTTCCCCGTCGCAAAGACATTCTCACTCGGATGGAACGCAATCGCCGTCATCTCTTCCCCTTCCTTTTCACTCAGAGGCGCCTCGACGCTCTTGGTGAAGCCCTTGTTGAGTTGGGCGGTTTGGCAAAGGTGGACGTGCGAAGGGGTGAGGGAAGCGAGGATGGAGCCGGAGGGGGAGAGCGCGAGGGCTCGGACCCGCCGCGGGACGGCGAGGCGGACTCGGCGCGCGGGGGGGACGGGAGTCGAAGGTGAGGCAGGGATCGCCGAGGAGGACGAGGTCGAGGCGCTCGCGTCGGCTGCGGCTACAGAGCGCGCCGCACGAAGACTGACGACGTAGACTCCGGCGAAGACATCGTCCGACTGGGCCGCATCGCCCTCAACGGCAGAGGTGGCTTTGCCTTTTCCGACCGACGCCTCCGCCACTGCCGTCGTCGTCGACGACGAGCCAGACTCCGAAGAAGCTGCCAGAGCGACAAACAGCTGGTCCGGCAAGTTTTCGCTCGCCGTGGCGTGGACGACGGGGGCTCCGAGTTCGAGCGTGCGGAGCAACTTGCCCTCGACATAGTCCCAGATGCGGATCCGGCCGTCGCTCGAACCGACAACGAGTTGCCGCGGGTTGGAAGGGGAGAGCAAGACTGCCGTGACGGTTGCGCGGGTCAAGAGACCCTCCGAAGTGGACGTTGCGGTGGGAGGGATCGAGAGGGTCGAGACGAGTTCGGTGGAGCGGACCGAGTAGATGCGGACTGCGGCGCCCGATGCGATGAAACAGTACCTGGGTGCGTGTGTGGATCCGCATCAGTTCGAAAGGCTCTACTACACTCAAAGAGGAGCGTGCGCTTACGCCGAGTCGGGAGTAAAGACGACGGGAGTGGTGCGGTAGTTTGACGCGTCGGTCAACGCGAGCCAGTCGAGCGCGTCTGCGAGGGGAGTCACCGTCGACTGTACGCCGCCCTCCTCGTGGTAGTGCTCGTTCGCATCGTCGTGCGTGTGATCGTGAGCGACTTGTTGCTGCTGTTGGCGGATCAATTTGCGCTCCTTCTGAGTCGGCCTCGAGCGGTTCAGCTTGGCGTTGAGGGCCGCTTGCGCGGGCAATACAGTCGCCATTTGCTCTGCCTGCCCCCACTACTACGCTGTACGCGTGCCTTGTTTGCTATAGCTGCAGGGACGAGTCGGGGCGAGGCTGAGCTTGTGCGGCTCGCGTGCGGCAAGCTGACGTGGCGTTCGTTCAGCGTTAGCTTCAACGCAAACGCTCGAAGGTGGAGGCAGTTCGATCAGCCGATTCGCCATCTCCCTACACTCGAGCCTATACAGAGCAGCGAGCGATCAAAGGGACAGTCCGGAGCAGATGGCGGGTCTGCTGTTGCCCCCGAAACTGCAGCAACCTTTGACCGACTTTGTGCGCCCTCACTCCCTCGACTCACTCAACATTGCGCCCTCCGTAAACCTCACTGACCCGCCCACGCACTCACAGAGGCTGGCAGAGAAGCTAGGACAGGGCGCTTTCGGATCGGTCTACAAGGTGCGGCTGAGACTTGCTCCGATGGAGGCCTGAACTCGCTCGACCGTCCCATGCTGATCTCTCTCGCTCCTCTTGTACACGCGCAAACGCAGGCGCTCAACTGTGAGGTCTATGCTCAGACAGGTCCAGGGTCAGGCACCGGAGACTGAAACGGGAACTGAAACGCAGGGACGACCGGGGAAACATGCGCTGTCAAAAAGGTCAGTCGGCCGACTGTCCTCGAGACATCCCTATCGCAGCACAGAGCGCTCCCTGAGGACCCTCTCTGGCTGTTATAGAGTGCCGTGGACGGCTGACTGATCCTGTTTGATTGACCTCCTGTGTGGGCAGATCGACTTGTCGCACATTCCCGAAGGGGACTTGCCAGAGATCATGGTCCGTTTCCGGTCCTCCTCCTGGCGGCTGTTTGATTCTTTCTAACGCTCGCGATTTTGAACCTCCAGTCTGAGATCGACCTGCTCAAGAATTTGCACCGTGAGGAGTCCTCCGCGGCACCACTTCGACGAAATGTTCTGAGCTGATCCAGCTGACCCGCCCGTCCGCCGAGCCCAGATCCCAACATCGTCCAATACCGAGGCTACCACCGCACCGCCTCCTCGCTCTACATCGTCCTCGAGTACTGCGAGAACGGTTCCCTCGCCGCGTTGGTCCGCAAATTCGGGAGGATCCCCGAATCGCTCGTCGGGTTGTACGTCCTCCAGGTCTTGCACGGGTTGCAGTACCTCCACGAGCAAGGGGTCATTCATCGAGATATCAAGGGGAGTAATATCCTCGCGACCAAAGAAGGCAGCATCAAGCGTGCGTTGTTTCTCTCCCCCCTTGTAACTGGAACATCCAGCACGGGAAAAGTGCGTTGACCTCATTTGATCCTTACTGTGACCTACAGTGGCCGATTTCGGCG